TTCGGTTGAAAAACCGAAGAAACAGTGTTGGACAGCAACAAAGATGAAGCCATTGGAGAGAAAGTTATCTTCAAATTGTTGGAACTAATATATTAAAAATGGTGAATATCGAGGCTTAGAGGCGCGTAATCGCTTCTTCAAGATAGTTGAAGCATCTCCCACGTGCAACGGAAGACAAATGGCAGCACTATCTCCGGGATTTAACTAAGCCCAGATATCAAAACTGTATGTTCATGAAGGTTACACTTCTTCTTCATAAACTTGTGTATTTATCTCGGTCCGATCAACAGAAAATATGAAACTCACACACTCAAACTCAATAATTTGAAAACATTTTTTTTTCAAATCTCTTTTTCTCTCTTACTTGTATTGAGAGTGTGTGATTTGTAGGCTTCGCAAATCTACTATTTATATTAGCACAAGTAGGGATATAATAAATTAGTATTAACGAAGCTATATTTAATTTTTCACTTAAATAACACATAAGGTAAATTAATATATAAATTATAGAAAACTTTATTGAAAACTTCATTAAGAATTCAGTTAGAGTTTTAGTTATTTAATAAATAAAAAATTTGAAACATAACTCCAACACAATTAACAACTACAACATAAGAAAACAAACAAAAGACATGGAGACTTCTTTAACCAATAATATTTTAAAACCAACTTAACACGTTAATTTGAACAAGTACCCATTATCCCAAATACCGATTAAGCTATTGAAAAGATTGATGATCATTTTCAATAGACAAGAGTTTAGCCTTTATTTATGACATGAGTATAACACGAGTAAGGTAGGGTTCGACAGTCTTCTGCGTTTATGTAGAAAATTGTCGAGTGTTGAGAGAGTTAAGATTCTAGAATATTAAACAGGGAGATACATAAAGTGCAGAGATATTTAAATATAATAAGTTATAGATGTCCAATAATGAAGGGGATGACTATATATATAGGTTGGAGTATCATTAATTTGTAACATCAAGCTTTGAGAGTGAGGTGACAGTGTAAGGAGTTGGTGGAACAAAACCGACATAAGTTTGAATTTCTTGGTTCTCTGTTGATAATATCAGCCTAATTTCTTCCTATATCAATTTCTAATATTGTTATTTGTTGCTTAATTTTTGTACACTTGATTCATACGGTGTAACAATTTGTTTGCTTAAATTATTTGTGAAATCGATTTTTTTTTTTTTTTTCCTGCTGTAGTTTTGAGTTCATTAAATGATCAATTTAATAAGTTAGAAATATCGATCGGATTCGGATAAAATCAATATTGATGTGTGAGTAATAATAATTCACACTAAATAAAACATCTTCTCAATGAAAACTATGCCAACTATTACATTCTTACTCTAATTTTAAGAGTTCTTTATAACTTCAGAAGTATTTACATCCTAACTCTAATTTTAAACCAAAAGGACATACTCAAGCTGTTCATAAGTATTCCTATCACAATGAAAACAATAAAATCGATTACCCCCAAAAATAAAAAAATTAAACCTATCCTATCACAATTTGAAGGAAGCATCATGCAACCCTCTCAAATTCCATTTTACCTCAATGACAATCTCTAAAAGAGGAGCAATGTCAAAATGTTACGTCTTGTTTATCAAAAAAAAATATATATATACATGTAGGGTATACTTGACTGATCAAAAGTTATTAGTGAAACAATTTACCTTAACTAATTGATCTAAAAATCTTTTCTTTATGGCTATGTTTGGTTATTATGGAATTATAATTGATGGAATTGAAGAAAACTTTAATTCAACTTTTATAACTTTCAATTAAATTTTTTTTTCTTTTTTTTCGATTCCATTAATTTCAATTTTAAAGATGCTAATTCAAAATTTTAATCTACCTATATTAACAGTCTTAAGTCCATTTGAAAGGACATTTTGAAAGTCTTACTATGATTTAACGTGAATATGATGTGTAGGACCGGATGGGGTTTAATCAGAAAATTGGATGTTGGAGTTAAAAAGCATATCTTTATTGTCTCTCATACTAGGAAGAGTAAAATACTGCCCAATTCCATCCCACTGGGGCTCAAAATATCAGCAACTATTTAAGGAATTTTAATTAAGCCAAGGTTATTGAGTGATCTATTAACCATTGACAAGTTTTTTTTTTTTAACCTCGTTCAATGGCCATTCATTCCACTTACTGTTGCCTCCTTAGTCAAGTAGATTACCCAAAATGTTGATTGAGTAGGTTAGGTTTATCCTTCTTAACCGACATCCAATTAACTGATGAATCGTAATCTTTGAGAATTATCATCATCTGGAGCTGAAAAGAAACACATGGTCGAGGTGGTTCGTCGACGTAGACTAGTGGGTCAAAATATTCCCATCAAATATATTAGAGCATTATTGCAAATGTGTTACTAAAATTTCCAAATGATCGAGGATACACACCCAAAAATGCCCGACTTTTTTTTCTTCTTCTTTTTATTTATTTATTTTTTGAGAAAAAAACCTCACTTTCATCCTTAAAAGAAGTAAGTAGTTTGGTTTAGAAGAGGACATGCAGGGTGTCACACCAAATTTGGCAATACATTGCATTTAAGTCCTCTCAATGAGCAAGTTAAGTTTGATATGTTGAAAAAAATCCATATATGACATGCACTTTGTGGAGTGATGGTTTAGGCCAAAGGCTTGACAAGTTTTGTGTGGCAGTGGTTGATGAGGGGTTTATTATGTTGGTAAGCAGCTCATCCCCACATCGGGATGTATCAAAGTGGTAGTGTTTGTAGGGCCCATTTTTATTAAAAAAACAAAAGGGACCCAAAACTCTGACTTGTGGCCTATTCTACTTTTCTTAAAAGTGCATGCCCTCCCATGGTGTTGGTCCTTATCAATAGGTTGTAAAGACACAAGTGTTCTTGTCAGGGGCATTTAAGACTATATATTTGATGTTAACTTCATTCATTAGCACATGCAAATTTCAAGACTAGATCACCTTTTTTTTTTTTTTTTTTCTCCCAAATTTTTTTTTTAAATACGGGGTTTGGTATTAATTTAAACTGCAAATCCTCTGTACCTTATATGGGTTTCATTAATTATGTTTTTGTATATTTTTATATTTTTTATTATATTTCTTTATTTGCTCATTTAACCCTTTTGTCACATGAATATTTTCATAATTGTTAAATGAATTTGGAAGCATCGACGGTTAGAAAAGTATTATACTCGTCTAATTAAAACAAAGTGATTTTTATATAATATTTGTAATATTATAGTGAAAGCCAATCTTATTTTCTAATGTTAAAGCAATGTTTTTGGTTTTACTTTTTATTGACCCAAGTGACTCCAAGCATACTGAGACAATTTGTATTTATTTATTTATTATTATTATTATTATTTTACTTCAACGGTATTTTCGATTGTTTTTTCAGCCTTACAACCTATAATATATATATAATAAAAAAAGGTAAAATCACAAAACTTCATTTTCATTAGTTTTGCCGTCAAACCCTAACAGAAAAATAGCACGAGTGTCATGTGTGATATTTTACTACCTATATGACCGGATTGTCCCCTTAAAATCTAATATTGTTGAAAAATCACAACAACAACAAAAAAAACACCTATTCTATCAATTTCTATCGTATAAACCTTATACCAACAAACAGCTCCAGAACTAACAAAATTGATCATTTAAGTCTATTATATTAAGAATTTGTTAGTTATAGTATCAAATGACTAACTTGACCTCAATTTTTCACACTCACCAATCAAGTTGATCTAGCAATATAAATAAAAGAAATGCAATGACATATATGTTAGCAATATTTGGCCGAAACATGCTGGAACACCATTTAATTCAGAGAAAACGAAAGAAATACCTAACATTTATGTTTGCAAAATCGATTTAAAGTTGGTTCTTAAAAGTTAATTTTGGTAATAAAATACTCAAATTAGGCACACGATACTCATGAGAAATTTTTTCTTCTTATGATTTCGGAGCAAATTAACAGAAAGGGAGTAAATTGATAAATTTTTTAAAACGTCAAGTGGGTTTAATGGAGTTTAGTTACAGGAGGTTATACGATGAAATATAAGGGGGTTTTGTGGTTTTTTTTTTTTTAAATTAAAAAGTAAGGTAAATTTTGTTATTTCACTTCTGTTTTATTATTATTATTATTATTTTAACACCAACAAAGAATTTCGATTAAGAAAGAGAACAAAAATAATCAAAGAGAAGAGCATCTAACAACCATTGGGACGAAATACTCCACTCACAATCACCACGATTGGCTTCAAAAGCCTTCATGCTTAACAAGTGAGTTACAATATTTCCTCCACAAGGAATCCATGCCAAATGATTATTTTTGTTAGTTTAGGAGTTATTTGTTAATTAAGGAGTTTATATAATTAATTTTTATTGTAAAAGTTATTTTTTGTGATCTTACCCCTAAAAAATTGATATTCACACTTGAGTTTCTCCACTTTCATTTCGCGTAATTGTTTTTTTAAAAAAGAAAAAATACAAATTCAATTAGAGGGTAACCTAAAAAAGTGGAGTTTTAATATTATTTCTCTTGCCGAATGAATTCACAAAAGATTTTTTAATTTATTTTTGGAAATAAACTCACAAAAATTAGGGATTTGAATTTTGAACCATTAACCTAGCTACATATCTTTGTAAAGAATTTTTAAACTTGAAAACTCATCGAAGTATTTTAAATTGCACGAAAACTAGAATATGCCTTTTTAAAGTTATATAGAATTATACATATATGGAGTAAAAAAATGAGCAAATTTGAAGTAAAAACTTCAGGATTAGCTTTTTTTCACTACTAATTTTGCAGCCAAACAATCATATACATTGAAGGAATGAAGTGTCAGAATTGAAAATATAAGCAAGACTGTGGGCTTTAAAATTAACGTCTCCATATTTACTTTTTCCTTTTCTTTTATTTTATTACTTTTCATGTTTATTTTATTGGGTCATTGCCCATAGACATTAGACGACACGAATTTTATACTTTAATTAGTCCCCCTCTGCCTCTATATCACTTTCTCTCTCATCTGGATCATCCAGTTAAATGAGCCTTCTCTCTCCTCTTTCTCTCTCTAAAACTCTATGTTTCTCTCTCATCTGCACTCAGCCCTGCAACTGATTATCATCAGATCAAACATTTTCCCTAGATTCTACTACACTTTTTGCTGATCTCAACTCCGATTTTCTATCTGTTGCATACAAACATCGAGCTCACCCAGCCGTCAAGCATCGAAATCAGTAAAGTTTCTCTCTCATTTTCGATCGAGACTCTTTCTCTCTATATTATATATATATATATATATATCTAAAACCTAAATTCAAGGCACTATCCTCAGTGTTCTTTGTCACTTCGTATTCTCACTGAACTTCACAGTTCACTCAATTTTTTCAAGATTGAAAAGTGTATATGAAGCATTTTTCATACATTCAACAACTGTTGCCCTGCAACTGTTGCAATTTCGATGCTGGAAGTGAAGATCATGAGCTCTGATTCGATTATCGGAGGCGGATTGGAGTTTGAGTATGCGAATTGGGGTTTATGTGCGAGTGTCAGTTGGAGTATGAGGTTATTGGATGAATTAGTGAATGCGAGGGTTTGGTGTTGAGAATGGGAGTGCGAAGATTGGTATCTAGATCTTGGCTTTGTTCGACGAATTGATATTTTATTTTTGTGATGTCGAGGACGGACAGGATGAATTCAGATGCTAATAGGACTGGTGGCACGGTTGAAAGGGACATTGAGCAGGTAAATTTTCATTATTTCTTGACAGTTTTCAAGCTTTTAGTTGTTCAATGATACAAGAACTACTCCTATTATTGTGAAATGTGAAACTTAGACGATTTAGTAGCATATATTAGATTCAAAGACCACCTAGGAAGCACAAAGGCTTCTGCGAAGGAGTTTTGTGTGTCATTTAGTCTTGGATGCTTCCATGATTTAAAAATAAATTTAATTATTTTGCACACTTAGCCAACACTTCTAACACTTCGCCGAACTACCGAAACACTTGGCTCAATTTCTAACACAAACAAACATATAAACATTAGCTATGTTTGGCAATCTTGGAAATAATATGAACAATTGTCAGTGCCCGACTTATTTTATTTTAGAAAAAGTGACATTACATGGTCACAAGTTAAGCATACAATGATATTTATTCATATAGGCAAAAGTATAATTGTAATGATAAGGTAGTGAAATAATAACGTCTATAATAAAACAAGCATTACAATTTTTGTATGATTTCATCTTCTAAATTATGGTGGTGTAAGTCTTAGTATATAAATTAAAATTAATTAAAGTTCTATAATAGTCTTTCTCAAAAAGGGTATATAAATAAAAAACTTACATTCATATGTAATTATGTTCACACCGTATTTTGTCATACTTTTTTAAGATTCAAGGTGTAGAAGCATCATGTCTGTGTCTATGCTATTTAGAAGACCACTTTGTGCGCGCGCGCGCGTGCGTGCGTCTCGTGCGTGTATTACTAGCTCGTTTATAGAGGGTTGGTAGATCATGAGATGGTAGAAAAGTACGCCATTGTTTTATGAGATGGAATTTTGGGCTTCCTTGTACACTTTGGTCCTTTACTTTGTTGAATTTATTATATAAGCACTGTCATTCTCTTTTATGGTGTTAGAGTTCTGTGTAAAATTGGATTGCCACTGATAAATTACAGCATGACTGAGTATTGCCATTGCACACTACATAATGTAAATGACTAACATATTCTTACATGAATGGGCTGGAAAGTAGGCACTTGAATTGACTCTTTAAAGTGTTTCTAGGCTGGTTAACTTCTAATTTTATTTTTTGGTAAGCATAGTTTGTTTTGCAATCAGGCTTTTGACTTGTGTCGGGATGTTGCTTTCTGTTCCTAATTCCCCCGTGTTGTAGTGGAAGTTTTCCCTATTGGAATAGATAAATTGGTCAACTTCTTAACTGTAACATATTTTTGTTAAAAATAAAACAAAATAACTGTAACGTCCGTCTCTAAGTCTCTTATTGTTAAGAAACCCAAACAGGACTACTAGAAAAAGTGTATTTTAAGATATCAACTAATCAAACACACACACATATCTAAGAAAAACTAATGAAAGTTGATTGAGACTAACTAGGCTTGAAACTGAACTTAGAAACAAAGCAATAATTACAAAGTACCTAAGAGGCCACAATTGCCTTGCTACCTCCCAAGGTCCAATGTAGAATTAAACAAACAAATTTCATTTCATAAAGTACCTAAGAATATTCTTACATTATTTTATAAAGTACCTAAGAATATTGCTTGGTTGAAATTAGCAAACAAATTTCAACCAAGCATTTTAGCCAACTCAATTTTGCCACTCCTTCCAATTCAGAATGCTCTTGGACTGAAAAAATTATTTGTCCTAAAGAAAATTCATGTGAAGCGGCCTTTGGTTGGTTTTTCAGCAAATTTGGCCTTTGGTTTCTAGAAGTGGTGGTATTTATTAAGCCAACCAATTGCTATTGCACCTTAAAGACTTCATTTGTTATCTTGTGGGTTATCATTATTTTCCAAGTGTGTCCCATTTTTGTATGTCCTCTCTCCTCCTTGTACATGCTTCAAACTGAACCAAATTACTATTTGATGTTGTAACAGGTCTTTTTGTTTTCACATGATTAAACTATCTTGGTTGACTTCCTCCTTTTTTTTTTGGCTCAGATTAGTTGCCCTTTTCAGATCTTGTCCTGAAATATTGCTACCCCTAGCTTTTTATCAATGGATTCAAGTTTTGCTTATAATTTCTTTTCCAATAGCTTATTTTTGTTAACAGCTCATCTTAGCAACGTTATTTGTGGTTTTCATTTTCAGCATTGTCTCACAAACTCTTGAAAGATAATGGTTTTGAAAATGCTTGATGCTTTAAAATCTTAAATTTCATGGCTGACAATAAATAATTTGTTGTATATATTGCCATTAAAGGAATTTAATTTCTGATAGCTCTAAAATTGGTAAAATTATTGTGGGCCTATGAAGTAGGGACATATAATATGGGATACCGATACGTACATGTTATATTCACAACATTTGGACAAAATTCCACACGTCCCTTTGCTTATTGGGCCCAAAGCAGTGCAGTCTTTCCTGGCCAAATCAAGCTTTGGGGCTTTTTGCTACGCTACTTAACAATAGAAATCCATTTTTTTATTGCCTTGCCCCAACTTCTTTATGTTTGACCATAAAAAATTTAACAAGTGTGTGAAACCCCCAATATGTTTTTATTCAGTATCCTATATTGAAAAGGCGTTATATGTCCAAGGCATGCTTGATATATGTCCTGCAGTAGTATTTAAGAAGTACAGGACTGCCTTCAAAATAATAAGTGTTTTTGAATTAATAGGAAGTATGGGACATGCACGTAAGGAAGCATATGAGTGGTTTGGATATGAATACGAGAAGGACATCACTCATTCTTAAAAGTATCCATTTTTACCTGGCTGTGAGCTAAGATTTTAGGGAACTTATAGGTTTTAGGGTTTGAAAAAAGGTTGAGAAAAGTTAATGGCCCTTTAAATGGAAAATAATCAAAGTAGGCTTGAATTTGAAAGTGATAAGTTGCTGACAATTTTGGGTAGTGACTTTGAATAAGCCTGTAAAAGTTCATGAAAAGGGTTAAGGTAATTAAACTTATGTTTTATGGTGAAAATTCTGGTTAATATAGTTGTTGACAACCATCTACTCTAAAAGCTTAAGCTATTAGAGAGGGTGTAACGTAAATATTAAATCCTTCAACACGACCCCTCACGTGTGGCCTTTTGGTCTAACACGTGTTTCAATTTTTAATCACAGGGTGAACAAGAGGTTTGAACTTGAGGCCTTTGGCTCTGATACCATGTTAACAACCATCTACTTTAAGTTTAAGCTATTAGAGAGGGTGTAACTTAAATTTTTAAATCCTTCAACAATAGTGAATTCAGTATTGTAGTAAGTTAGAGAGAAATAGGTGTGAATAAATAAGATGTTTGAAGATTCTCATATATAATCCCTTATTCATCACACCAAGGAGTAGTTTCGGTAGCTGCTACAAAATTCTCTACACTAAATTAATGTTGTGAAAGAACCAGCTACCTGATTTCTGTTCGTGATTGGCTCGGTTAAAGGATTCTATAGAGGACATTTTTTCTGTTTTTTACGTTCTCTAACTCCATTTTTATCCTGTTTTTGTGAATATACAATTCTATTACTCTTTATCCATGCTTTACTATTGTTATCTACCTTGAAGCTAGATAACTTTCTTCCTGGCTGCATATGTGCTGAATATGTTTAATTTAGGTTTTTTGCTGATCTTTACAACAGGCCATTACTGCTTTAAAGAAAGGGGCGTATTTGCTCAAATATGGAAGAAGGGGGAAGCCTAAGTTTTGTCCCTTCCGGCTGGCAAATGTAAGTTGGATTTAAAATTTCAAGATAATTTTGTGCCTTATATTCTAGTGTTTTTGTTCTACTTGCTCATTCATTAATTATTATTGGTGTTGGGATACATTTCAAGTATTGATAAATCAACTCAACTCTGCAAAGCCTTTTCACAACTCCCAGGGTGAATCCTGTTTCACCATTTGGCTCTTGCATTGTCCAAGGCAATACTTCCCCATCAAACTACATGCTATCATATCTCTCTTTACTATCTCAACACATGTTAGTTATGGTTTTCTCCTTCCTCTAGCATTACCCTCAACTCAACAGTGCCTTTTCCAAACTACTTGGGATCAGCTACATGAATCCTATTCTTTCATTCCACTCTATCTAAGGCCGTATCCTTCTGTCAAACCACACGTTACCATACCCTTCCTAAATTTTTTTTTTTTTTGATAAGTAAAAGTTTATTAGAAAAGTATTCAAAAGGGGAACACATCCCTAATACACAAGGGGAACGCGTCCCTAATAAATTGCTTTGGAAGTTTTGAAACATATCCTTCCTAATTAACTCTAACTACATTAACTTTGGTCTTCTTCTTCCCCTAGAATTTCCCTCAATGTGGACCATATCGTTCTTCCTGACTAATGATAAAATATCAAGCATTGATGGTGTTAAAATTATTTATGCATTTCCTTATCTGTTCTTCATGCAATCAGAACTTGGGATCAGTTATGTGTATTATTCAGCTTTCATCAGTTAACTTTTTGAAACATTGTTAAATATTGTTAAAAGCGCATGTAAGATACCGTAGTCAGAAACATAAGATATCTTTGTATATTTCTGTATCTTGTATGTTACTCAGAAATTGTAACTATCTTTGGATTGATGTTTGTGGTCTTACTGACCATCTGGATAGCATCATGACAATAGGAATCAAGCACCAGTTTTGCATATTTTTCTGTTCCCAATGATTTACATTTGGGGCCTCCTTCATTTAATTCTATCTGGATTCAATTGGATTCTCTTTTTTAAACGCATCCAAGATGTAGTTAGAAACATAGGGTGATAGGTATGATTCAGTACTTTTAATCTTAATCAGCGGTCACCTTTTAACTGGTGATGTTGGCGATGTTACTCAGAACCATTGCCTTTTTTTTTTTTTTATAAGTCAGAACCATTGCCATTTTGAACATGAATTTAGCTTCATGTTCAAAAGCCAAGCAGAGATTTTCTCAGTGGGTCCGTAATATGAATTTTTATTTAATAAAAAAGCACAAAATTTTTTATTAAACAATAAAATTCTGTAAATGAACCACAGCTCATCAACAACTACTAATAATAGTAATTGAAAAGAACAAGTGGAAAATTTCACCCTGCAATTGGAGAATTGGAGAAAAGGAGAAAACTTCCACTCTGCAATAATTTTTTTAAATAAATGTAAACAAGAATTTTGGGAAACTTGTACTTCCTCTTTCTTCTTTTTAAAGGAAGATGGATTCCACAAATTTGGAATTCCTTTAAACACAGGTATCCATATATTCCCTCATTATTTTTCTTCCTTTTCTTATTTGATTCTCCCTGTCTTTCTCTTACATACACAAACACAAAGCAATTCCAAGTTTAGCATAAAAAAAAATTAGTCTTTTTTTAAAAATAAATAAAAAATTTCTTTACATTTTAATATTAGATTTTGATCTGGACCTTTTTTTAAAGAGGATGATATAGCAGTTAATTGTGGAAAATCCCTAATATTTAGGCAAAAAATAGATTTTTTTTTTTTTTTTTTTCCGAATTTGAGTATGGTCAAGTGGCCCTACTGGAGACCATGTGGCTTTGCCCTGTTCATGTCGGGCAGTGCTTCTAACTCTAACCTACTTATAGAATTGCCATCTGTAGTTGTTTTCAAATTACGCTACACTACTTATCTCTCTGGTTGGCAAGTATACTTCGTCTTATCACATATGATATTTATACTGACTTGTCACATCTAAATCTATTCTGCATTAGTCCAATCATTTTATCTCTTGTTTCTCTGCGTAATTTTGCAGACAGATTGTTGAGTCAATTGTCCAATGATATGCAATTGAAGTGTATATTCATTCATTACAGCCATCCTACTCATTGGAAATTTTAATGTACAAGATGGGCACGTATGCCTTATATATGCATATCTATTTTTTCTAATAGACATACTTAACTTTATATAGCTTCCTACTTCTACATTTTCTCTCACTTTTATATGCATATCCATTAATATACTTAACTTTCAGTAGCTTCCTACGTCTACATTTTTTTTAATGCTGAACAACTGGTTGTTCTTCTGTATTGTCTTTGGTAGCTCAGGTGATTTTTGACTGATTATTGGTGGAAAATTCACTAGTAACTATTAAAAAATGATATTACTTGCTTTCAGGATGAATCTGTTCTAATATGGTTCTCGGGCAAGGAGGAGAAACATCTTAAACTAAGTCATGTGTCCAGAATTATTTCTGGACAGCGCACTGTAAGTTTCTTGCTACTGATATGACATCCTCTATGACTAATGTCATGACGTTTATAAGTTGTGGAGAAATGTGATAACTTGTTGTCTACAACAATTGATAAAATTGCTAATGGAAGATAGATTTTTCCATCCCAACAGTCTTATGGTTTTTGTCTCATTTTTGGTACTGGGATATTGCTACCATAATTGATATGGCTTATTTGTTTGACTGCTGAAAATACTGAATCCTTGGGATCAAGAATAGCATTCACGTGATTGAGATGCAATTTTTTTCATCTTAACAATGTGTCCACAGGAATCACTTCTATGTTTATTCCTTTCTCTACTTGACGTCCCTCTTTGTCCGTAATTCTTGACCCAATTATCAAAAATTTTCAGCTCACTTAGATTTACTTTGTGCATAATCTGCTTTTTTATTTTATTATTATATCTATCAAATACCGTGTTTGTGTGCGTGGATGAGTTGGATAATATAGCAGTACCGTAGCATATATATATATTTAATAACTTGCTTTTCATCACGTGATTGACTTTTATCAGTTGTCGACCAGGGGGATTTGGGGTGTCAATTTCAAGGACAGGTGGCATTGGGTCATCAATTTGTAATATAGTCCATTGGTTACAAAAGGGCAAACTCCTAGAGAGGATCTATATTATTATATCATATTCCTACTAGCATTGTTTCCCCCCCCTCTTAAAAGTAGCATCAATCGTTAATTCATTGCAATATAGTACAAGGTAAAAGACTTTCTGATGAGATGATAATTGTCTAGTGGAGATTTGAAATCTGAAATGAAGAAGTCTGCTATGGCTTGTCAATAATATCTTTTTATTAATTATACTAGGGGAATTGGAGTATATTTTGCTGGGTTATGAGATAATTTTTCTCAATCAAGAGTTAATGTGGCTGAAAAGATTTTGGCCTTCAATTCTTACCATTTTAATGGGTATTAACTTGTTCCGATGTGCAACTTGGATGATATTCTTGTTGGCATCCTAAAGTTGGAAGAAACTGTTGCACTGCTTTCAGTGCACCGCATGCTTATGTGATTGTCTTCTGAGTTCCAACTCATCAAAATATGCTAAATTAGAAGCATCATTTCCATGTATAATTTTATGGCGATCCTTGTGGAAATATCAACTGTGAGGAAATTTTAGGAATTTTTTTGTGAAACTGAGGGAAATTCACAAATGACATGGGCACTTGGGACTCTCACTGCTGCCCAAAGAATAAACTATCATGTGAAATATGATTAAGTCTGGTTCTCGGATTATTGGTTTATTCACTTGCATTTGTTTCTTTCTATTGAAAGAAATAAATATAAAGTTCGTTACCTGTTGTTAGTCCCATCAATGCAGAGTGCCGGTGGAGTAGACTGGTATAGACCTAATGCACGAAGTGATTGCTCTTGAACTCATCCCCTTATTTTCACATTGAAGGCGTGTCCTTTTTCTTTGTATGAAGTAAAGGGTCCTTGTTCATTTACTGCTTGTTATAATATGAAAGTTTAATTTTAAAAAGGCTGGTTTTTTACATATTGAGACGTGATGAATGTTTCTTCAGACCCTATCTTTACAGTGACAACCATAAGATAGCCGGTAGACACTTCCTTCCAGGATACTTGTACCCTTTATATTGTGGCGGTTCGAAATGGCAAATCCTTGTAGATGAAGTTGATGCGAACAACCAAAACATTGATTTATGGAGTTTGCATCTCTTACCACTTCTTGCACTTTGTCTACTCATGAACCCTCTGAAACTGATTTGAGAGCTGATTAAGAAACAAATTCCAGATAACATGTAGTGTTAAGTAAGCCTTATCTTGAAGTCAAATCATTTTGGTACACTACAAGAATCTTTTCCTTTCAGTTTGATGAGAATGTTGATGTGAGACGATGCTTGTAAATGTAGTTTGCACTTCCCATAAAAACATTTTATTTTATTT